GAACTTCACTGAATACATTATATAGCACTCGTAAGTAACTATTTCTCATACAACACCCTAAATGCATCAATGTAACTAAACCTGAGCCAACTCCTTTCCTATATCCCTTCCTTTGCCATCTGGATCTGGCCAGTAAACGGAAAGAAATATTATTTCTTATAGGGCCAAGATCTACTTTACAAGGGATTAATGGCTTAGGGAGAGAATAACATGATATCTTCAATTACAGAGGCCTAAAAGTTGTTGCTTTTCTAAAGGAAAAATATATAACTCTGCCCCTGGTTAATGTAACGCTTCCTCTTTTTAAAAAAAAGATGGGTTTTTTCCATTCTGCAGCCTTCGGGTGCTTGAAATCTATGCATATACTGTATCATTAGAATGAAACAAATACCACAATTTTTCAGTTCTTCCTTTCTCTAGAAAGGGAAACCTGGTAGAACTCTTGTCAATTTCCATCAGGTCAAAGAAAGGGAAAAACACCGTTGAGCAACCAACTAGTCTTTAAAACAGGCAGCCCAGCAAGCAATGGATGTCAAAGGCAGACAGTGGGAAAGGAAGGGTGGGCTGGGGTGGGGGGTATGCCAACAGGAATGGAGGGATTTGTGTAGGACAGTAGGAAGCTCACATGAGCAGGAGGAGGAAACACCACTTCTGACATGCAGAAAAGGTTTCCCCTAAGGGGAAGGCTGAGACCACATCACCTGTCTTTCCCTCCTTAAATAATAGGTGGCTTTGCCTTATGTGTGGCAAGGAGGAAGTGCAGATCAGCCCTAATTTGCAGAACAAATGGCTCTGGCAAACCTGTGCAAATTAATACAGGCAGTCCTCAACTTACGACCACAATTGAGCCCAAAATTTCTATTGCTAAGTGAGGCATTTGTTAAGTGAATTTTGTCCCATGTTATGACTTTTCTTGTTGTTAAGTGAATCACTGCAGTTGCTAAGTTAGTAACACAGTTGTTAAGTGAATCTGGCTTCTCCATTGACGTTGCTTGTCAGAAGGTCCCAAAAGGTGATCACATGAACCTGGGACACTACAAACATCATAAGTATGAACCAGTTGCCAAGGATCTTAATTTTGATCATGTGACCATGAGGATGCAGCAACAGTTCGTAAGTGTGAAAAGAAGTCGTAAGTCACTTTTTCCAGTACTGTTCTAATGTTGAACAGTCACTAAATGAACTGTTGTAAGTTGAGGGCTAAATGTATTGGCAAAATGATGTATATCACACAGGACTTTTGAATGGTTCGGCTAAGCCCACCTCAGGTTCTAAATCTACCTTTTGTTTCTATAACAATCCTCTCTGATCCCTCTGGAAGCACTTACAACTTCCTGTGTTTAGCACCTGGTTTTTTCTACCTGCAATTTGGCCCCTTGAGCCCAATTCAGACATGCAATCATTTACTCTTTTACACCCAACAACATGGGGTTACTTAGCACCATCTGGGGAGCTGCTTCTGTTTACTTCAGCCACTGCCACCATCTATTCCACAGAATTAGTATTTCAACTAATGGGGAGTTCCTTTCAAAAAAATCATCCACATTTCCTGATCAAATTTTGCCCTGAGTCTCAGAGATGGGTAATCTCAGATCTCACTGTGACCCATTCCAACTCAAAGGCAGAACAGGGAAGCACGCAAGATGACCCAGTCTCCATCACTCAAAGGTTGCCGTTGGCTCAGATCTTCTGCACTAAGTATCATTAAGTAGTTTAACAATTATTATGTCTCAACAGATGGCAGCACCTGGCTGACCTTGTGAGCTAAGCAGGGCTGGGCTTTTTTAATACTTGGGATAGAAGGCTTTCAGGAAATCCCAGGGCTGCAGGCTAAATTGGGAAGTCAAAACTCCCGGAAAAAAATACTACTTGGATGTGTCCATAAAGACATGAGAAGTATGCCTAGATCTTTAAGAGATAGAAGGTTACAGGAAGAGCAAGAACAGCTGCTCTGACAATACTAGACCAAAACTTGCTTTGGGGAGGAGAATACAGGTAGTCCTTGTTTAGCAACTGCCTCAGGTGGCGCAGTGGTTAAATGCAGCACTGCAGGCTACTGCTAGATCAGCAGGTCAGTGGTTCAAATCTCACCGGCTCA